TGGGAATTCTTGAAAATTTTGGGGAATTTTGGGGGGATTTGGGGCGATTTTGGGCAATTTCAGGGAATTTTGGGGGGATTTAGGGAATTTTGGGGAATTTTGGGGAATTTGGGGGGAAATTTGGGGATTTTTGGGAATTTTGGAGCTGGGACCAGTCCAAACTGGTGCAAACTGGTCTGAACTGGTTTGGACTGGTTTAAACTGGTCTGAACTGGTTTGGACTGGTTTAAACTGGTCTGAACTGGTTTGAACTGGTCTGAACTGGTTTGGACTGGTTTAAACTGGTCTGAACTGGTTTGAACCGGTCTGGACTGGTCTGGACTGGTTCTGACTGGTCTAAACTGGTCTGGACTGGTCTAAACTGGTTTAAACTGGGTCTGAACTGGTTTGGACTGGTTCTGACTGGTCTAAACTGGTCTGGACTGGTCTAAACTGGTTTAAACTGGTTCTGAACTGGTTTGGACTGGTCCGGACTGGTCTGAACTGGGAATGGCGGAGCTGGGACTGGTCTGTACTGGTTCTGACTGGTCTGAACTGGTCTGTACTGGTTCTGACTGGTCTGAAGTGGTTCTGACTGGTCTGAACTGGTTTAAACCGGTCCGGACTGGTTCTGACTGGTTCTGACTGGTTTAAACTGGTCTGGGCTGGTTTAAACTGGTCTCAACTGGTTTGGGCTGGTCTGAACTGGTTCTGACTGGTCTGAACTGGTTTAAACTGGTCCGGACTGGTTCTGACTGGTTCTGACTGGTCTGAACTGGTCTGGACTGGTCTATACTGGTCTGAACTGGGAACAGCAGAGCTGGGACTGGTTCCGACTGGTTCTGGCTGGTTTAAACTGGTCTGGACTGGTCTGAACTGGGAATGGTGAGGCTGGGACTGGTTCTGACTGGTCTGGACTGGTTTGGACTGGTTTAAACTGGTTCTGACTGGTCCGGACTGGTTCTGACTGGTTTAAACTGGTCTGAACTGGTTTAAACGGGTCCAGACTGGTCTGAACTGGTTCTGACTGGTCTGAACTGGTCTGGACTGGTCTATACTGGTCTGAACTGGGAACAGCAGAGCTGGGACTGGTTCCGACTGGTTCTGACTGGTCTGGACTGGTTTGGACTGGCTTAAACTGGTTCTGACTGGTCCGGACTGGTTCTGACTGGTTTAAACTGGTCTGGGCTGGTTTAAACTGGTCTGAACTGGTTCTGACTGGTTCTGATTGGTCTGGACTGGTCTAAACTGGTTTAAACTGGTTCTGAACTGGTTCGGACTGGTCTGAACTGGTTCGGACTGGTTTAAACTGGTCTAAACTGGTTTGGACTGGTTCTGACTGGTCTGAACTGGGAGCTCAGGGCAGGGAGGGACCCCGGCCCGAGGGACCCCAAATTCGGGAGTTTTCAG